TTCGAGAAGGCATTTGACAAAGGTACATCAAGGTACACGAAAATTATAGAAAATATATTCAGCAATGCTACAACTATAAATCTGCACGGTCCTACCAATAAGAAAAATATCAGGAGAGGTATTCGACAGAAAGATACTATGTCACCTAAGCTATTCATTGCTGTACTTAAATATGCTTTGAAATCACTGGACTGGAAAAATAAAGAAGTCAATGTCGAGGGTGAGATGCTAAGTCATCTTCGACTCGCAGATGACATTGTCCTGATTTCAGATGACCTAAAAATTGCCAATGATATGTTAAATGAACTCGATGCAGCATGTAAAGTAGGTCTGAATATTAAATACCAAAAGACAAAAATAATGATGAGTTTAGTTCCGAGCAATCCTTTAGAGGTAGAAGACGTCGAAATTGAAGATGTTGACAGCTACATATAACTTGGATATATGGTAAAAATTAGCAGAGGTAATCAAACTACTGAGCTGCTAAGGAGAATAAATCTGCAGTGGGTAGCATATGGAAGACTGCGTGATATTTTTAAAAGTGATATACCTATCAGCTTAAAAAGAAGAGCCTTTAATCAACGTGTCCTGCCTGTTCTTATATATGACGCAAGTACATCTGCACGAAAATTACAAGTAACGCAAAATAGAATGAAAAGATCATTGTTGGGCATAACGTTGAGAGTTAAGGTTAGAAACGAAGAAATTCGTAGAAAAAGCGGTGTAAAGGACATTATAAAACACATTCTTCTTATTGTGTCGTCTTCTAACGAAGGTAGCGATAATTTCTTTAAACACTTCCAGATCTTTTGCAACGTGAAACATTTATTCAACATTGACGTTAGTCCAATCTCTAATATTCCTCAACCAAAATTTCTTTTTATTCCCCAACCCTTTTCTTTCCTCTACTCTTTCTTGCATGATGTCATGTAGAAGAGAGTATTTATCGTTTCGAAGTAGGTGGCCCAGATAAAACACATAGCTAAAATTAAATGGAAGTGGGCAAGACACATTACTAGAGTGATAGATAATAGACGCACTAAAAGAATCTTGAAATGGAGACCAAGAGCGGATAAACGAAACCCGAAAAGGTCACCCACGAGATGGACTAACCACGTAAAGAGGATATGTACCAACTCGATTGTAACCACGCAAGATAGATCTCTATGTAAGTTTTTCGACGAGGCCTATGTTCAACAGTGGACGACTACGGGATGGTGATGATTTTGGCAAAATACCACATGAAAAACTAGTCGATTTATCTAGGATTGGGGTACAACAATGGGAAATGGAAGCGCAAGATAGTAGAAGATGGAGGGCTAATAGTGGATACGGCGAAGACTCATCCCGACTTGAAAAGCCAGTTAAGAAGAAGAATAAACTAGTCGATATCCTAAAAACAAAAGGCCTCGATGATAAGAACACAAGACTAATCTAAAACTTTATTCTCAAAATTTAGTCTGAAAATATCTTAAAGAAGCCCTGATGGTATTGCAGTAAATAGTGAACTTATAAACAGGAGATCCAAAGAATTATGATAATGTTGTCGAAACATGTAAAAAATACGGCCTTAAACTAAATTGTAATAAGACAAAAATAATGAGTGGCATGTTTGATTGTTCGTCGGCATCCTTTGATGTTACTATGCTTAAGTGTGGCACTTGAAACAACAATGACAACACAAGCGTACTAACTCCACATGCCAATTCTTCTTATTTCCTATATCCTTTCAAATATCGTCTGTCACTTCTAAACCAGTCCAATCATCTTCTGTCGTGTCAAAAGGACCTTAGATCATAACGTCTTAACGAATTAACGAACAGGGAAATGCGAGATGTCACATGATAAAATTTAATAAATAGAATACGATGACACAGAAAAAACAAACAGGGTGTCAAGCCTAAAAAATCAGTATTTAAGCGGAATATTACATATGAGACATTTTATATGGAAATTATCATATTAGCGACCGTTTCTCGACACATGCCTCCACTGAATGAGGTCTATGGCAATCTAATAAACATAGATTATTAGAATTGCCTACTATAAGTAATTGTAGTTGTAATTTATATTTTTGATTAGTGTTTTTGTTTTTTTTTCAGTTTATATAATTTTTTAATAAATATATAAATTCTTTAATAATTTTTTGACTATGGTGACTTTAAATGTGACAAATTAATTACTAGTAATATATTTTAAACTAAAACGCCACTACATAATATAAAATATAATGCTAAAAGAGTAGAAATTATATAGGTATGAAAATCAAATTTTCTTTGGAATATAGTAATTTCAATATATCGGTAATAAAAATAAAATATGTTTAACTCGACAAAGAAACCTCTTCACGATGTCTTTTTAACTGACTCTAAAAATAAATGCCTTTTGATCATAAAGAAGTCCGTCATTTTCTCCACCACTGCCTAGCCTTCGAGTGTTGATCCCTTTTATCTCTCTCTATTCTATCCCAGTGGGTTATAGGAATTTCTATTTTTAGGACATACTACCCTACAACTATTTCTTTATTAATTACAAATAATAATTGGTTTGAGAAAATTTGCCTTCGGTGATCATTTAGGAAGTGATCAGTGTTTCTCAAAATATGTAAATTTTTTTGACCATTTTGTTTATCAAATAATAAGATATTTCTACTATGAAGGATCAATTTAGGTATATAAATGACTTAAATATTTATGGGGTATAGAAGATAGATATAATAATGAACCTGTGTGTAATGAAAACGGCGAATTGCTGATCTATATGTGCTAGAAATGATGTCAAAATGTTTAAAAAAAAGACTATCATAAATATACATTTAGCAGCTCCTGAAGTCAATAATCAATTATCGACGCGTTTATACATGAACTTTCGAAGAAGAGATCCAAAGATCTACTTATGAAGCTTACAATTAACAAATAAACCAATTGTTTATATAGATAGCTCAGCATTGAATTCTGCATCGGTCACAACTACGCGCGTGTTTGGAGGTTCGACAGTTCTCACAAAACAATTAATCAACTTAGGGATATTATTGCTTTCGCCTCTAGGTGGCAATATCATTCATAGATGGACAAACTAAATCTTCTTGAGACTGAACATATCGATGTCCCTGTATAGGAGGTCGCAGAAAGTGCTGGAGACAGAATATAATCTTGTTCATGTAAACTACTTTGGAGACATAACAGAAATTTAAAGGTTAACGGTGTTACTGTAAAATTACTATTGAACTTTTTGTAAACCAACGCACAATTAAGACCATCATAGAATATTGGATAAAGTTTACACACGACATGGACCATGATATATATACGGCGCACTGTGGAAAATGTTTAAAAACAAAAAACGCAATAAACGAGTACATCCAAACAAAAAAGATACAATTCGAAATATAGGAAACACACTTTATAGATCTTTAACATATGGAGACATTACTCGATTACAAAATACTAAACAGGACTACTATTGAATAAAAAGCATGGATAAAAATGGAGAGGCAAATAAAATACTTGTAAACGCAGAGATATCACAAAATGGACATACAAGCATAAAGTTAATCGATGGAATATCCCCGATAAACTAACACAAATCAAGGAAGAGTAAATATCAAGGATTCAGAAAGGCTCAGATCTGCAGCAGATGCACTGTTTTACAATCATCATGATTATGATATTTTCACTTCTAGCGGATTGATTGCTGCTTTCGTCAGGCTCTTTCACTTTATTTGTGATATAAATCCGTCCACATTAATCTTCCTTGGCCATATAATTGTGAATTGTGGTTGTGTGATTTCTTGTCTTCTACAGTCTTTCCTAATTCTTAAGATTCCTAATATCTTAAATTATCTGGTCCTCCGCGTCACTTTGGATCATCCTCTTGGTCTTGGTCTACAAGTATCTGATCTCCATTTTATAATAAATCTGATGATGTTTTCCCTCCTTTCAAAGTTTCCTGTATTTCGAGGTTCATTAGTATTCTAAATTCACTATCATCTAGGCTTGCATTCCTCATCTCATTTTCTCATTCTTCTTCATAATATTATTTCTCTCTATGAACATTAATCTTTTCTCCTCTTTCTGTACTAACTCATTCATATTGTTAACATTCCATTTCAGAAACCTTCCATTTAACGTTTCCAGTTCAGAATTTTGTAGACATTGTGTAGGTTACTACTATATTCTATTTAGGAATTTGTTGTTTCTACAGTAAAATTGTAGCAGCTTCTCTGACTGTTTTAATCTTAAAGTTTGAAGGAATTTTCCTATCAAAGTTATTGATACTACCGATGACAAAGCGAAAATAATCGGGAATAACGATATTTATGTATGGAGCGCAGATATGGATGCGGAATGTATATAATCGATAGACTTACAAACCCTTGTGCCATGAGGCATTTGCCTTCGCAAAATCGGATCTAAAGGTCCACTTAATACCTTTGGAGATACACAAATATCTATCAGTCATTCTATTTTGGCCAACTACTTTTTTCATTTTATAAGGGGAGTACCAAAATTTAAGAAAAATTTTAATTTAATAGAAAACAGTTTTTTTCTTTAGATTGTAATTTTTTAATAAACATGGGTATGTATAGAATAGCACATCAGGTAAATGGCCACCACAGTTTATACGACTTTGCTGGCACATTCGCACTCTTTTGTCGAAATTAATGGCTGAATTTCGTTGGTACAGCGTTGAATTTCCTCCTTCAGTGCTCGGGTGGTTATAAGTTTGTTGGTATAACATACCTCTGACTTCAAATAACCCCGTGAAATATTCTAACGGTGCTAAATCACACGATCTAGGTGGCCAATTCCTATTACCGAAACGAGAGATTACATGTCCAGGAAATGTCTCACGCAGTAATTGAATTGCTTCATTGGCTGTGCGGCATGTGGCACAGTCTTATTGAAATCACATGTCGACCACATCCATATCATCCAATTTGGGCAGCAAGAACTCTCTTATTATATTGTGGATGCATTTTTTCTCGACAGTCTAAGCCATCAAATGAAAATGTGCTTCATCGCTTCAAAAATCAGTATCCACTTGTTCACTATGATGTTCACTAATTCATTCAACGAACTCTCTTCGCTGTGCATGGTCATTAGGCTTTCTTCAGTGAGTATATGTTGTAGAGAGCTTCTTAAAATTTGTAATTCTTGTCCACGATGCCGAATTGATGTTCCTAGATTTTCACCAATACTCTCATGCACTGCTTCGATATTGACATTTGAGCGACTTGTTTTTAGACGAACATTGTCTATAGCGTCACCAATTGATCCAGTATAACTGAATTTTTCACTCTCTTCACAGACCCTAAACTGACAGCTGTCAAATTGTTTTTGTTGTGTTGTTGCTAACATTTTACTGGACAAATGGCGGCAAATTCAAATCTTTCTTGAATTTTGGGACACCTTTTATATAACAGCCACCATTGCCTTTTCAGTGTTGATTTATTTTTATAAAATACGTTATTGTCCATAATTATATTTCTTTTATTTTTATTCGCTGGCAAATATTTTGTAATGTTTTTTCTGTGTTTTATTTTTATCATAATAATCATAAAAACTTCATTAATTCTAAAACTTAAAAACTGTAGATATATTAGCTCTTGGATTTTTGTACTTTAATTAAAAATTTACTCTGGTTATGCGTTTAGGAATGTATTCGAACATTACAATATTTCTCTTTTAATTACTTTGGATATGAAAAGAGCAAATAGCTTTTAGTGAATATTAAAATGAAGTATTAAAATAATTTAGATACACTCATACATAAATATATATGATTTCTTTGCTTTTCCGGTTTTAAATACATGTTGAATACTTTTCGTCTTTAGTAAAACCCTGTTTTGACTTTTCGGCAAGGTCAGACTTGCCATAGCTCAGTGACATTTCCGAAACGTCGGCTACCCGGTCTATGGAGGAGTATCACCGAGACGCAAGCTCTTATCTCTTGGTGTACTGCTCCACCATAGGCCGATCAGATACCAGCTTATTCTAGACTAAACCGCAGATTCATTTAGAATTTTAAACTGCTACGTTAGCCTTTTTGTTTTCTGTACACCGAGCTGGGGATTAAACTGACATCTCTCGCATTAAAGCGAATGAGAAGCCAGCCGCCCAGCCCGCTTGGCTCTCCGATCGACACGTCGTCAAGAAATATTTTTTCTAAAAAGTAAAGTTATTTAACGCAAAGTCAGAGAGCTCCGAAGAGTCAATAGAATATATAAAAAACTGGACACTTATTTGTAACTCAAATAATTTGTATTAAATGTAAATTGAATTATCTATTATGTTATGTAAGCCGTGAACTAAATAAATACTTATAGTACAAAAAACTGAGGTTTTACTTAAATGTACTGGTAGTTATATTTTTTTTAATACTTACGAATATATTCATATGATCCAAAATTAATGAAGACTTACCTACAACAAAAATAAAGTACTTAGTAACATATGTATACAGTATTTTTTTAAAGTAAAAAATGTAATATTTTAGTTTAGAATAAATAACCTAGTTAATTACTAACATGGCATTACATAATTTACACGATTTAATTTTAAAATAGGAAAATAAATATTTACTTAGAACTAGACTAGGAACGAAAATTTTCAAAGCGTCACTTTCTCTGCCAAATTGGTGCAAAAATCATAAAAACCCAAAAAGTGGGCAAGAGAGTCCCACATCCTCGAGCGCCGAGGCACCGGACTGAGAGTAGCCCAAAGCGGGGACTTGAGGCAAGTCCACCCGAGCAAGCAATACAGATCGATGATAGGTCACTAGCCGATAACAGATAAGTGCTTCCTTTGGGATTTCTTTAGGGATTACTAGTTAATTTTCCTTTTATCTTGAATTATTTCATTTCAATCCTCCAGATCATATCCTTCATTTGAGCGAAATGTGCTTCCCAGGTGTTCTGCAAAACGTTTAGTTCATTGTTTATTACTTCTGACTCAGCTATTATCTGCTTGTTGGAGGTTTATACATCCTAGATCTTTTTAAGATTCTTCTTCTTCTTCTTAAGGTGCCGTGCATTTCTGCGTAGGCGTCCACCGTACATCGTCTTGTCAGGTGAGATGTTAAATATTCTAGGATTAAATAATTCTGTTTTTAGCAGCATTGCGAAGCATTTCATAGCTGTGGATTCCTGTCCATTGTCGAATATTGCGCAGCCATGACATTTTTTTACGTCCGAGTCCTCTCCTACCCTCTATCTTCCCTTCGAGTATCATTTGCTGAAAAGTGTATCGTTCTCCTCGTATAATGTGCCCCAAGTATGCAGTCTTCTTACTTTTTACATAATCAAAAAGTTCCCTATCCTGTAAGCCCGCTCTTCTGAGTACTTCCTCATTTCTGACCCTGTCCGTCCATGATATTCTGAGCATTCGACGCAGGCACCACATTTCAAACACTTCAAGTTTGTTAATGGAACTGGCCTTTAACGTCCATGCTTCCATTCCGTACAGGAGAACAGGCCACACGTAACACTTAAGCATCTTGTATCGGAGGTTGAAGTCCAATTGAAGTCCAATTTCAAGATTCTTAACAACCGCTTTTCATAGCGAATAGTCAGCGTCGACTCCCAATTGATTCATTTATATTATTGTGATTTTTTCTCTAAGTTTTGCATTGCATTATTCAATTCTGTTTTAACAGGCGAATATCTGGTTGTTTCCACCTACGCTTTAACTTTCTATTGTTTCAAATGTTACCTCTATTTCTGTTAGATAATTTCTTTTTTTTTTATTATGGTCGGAGTATTATTGCATGGTGATTTTAAATCTGCGTTTTGAACAGTTCTACATAAGCATTAAGTTGTTGTTCCGTTTTTAACGAAATAGAAAGGATGATTATTGTTCCCAATTATTCATTAAAGCTTATCCATTCACTAATATTATCTTAATATATGAAATAAAAAAAATATATAAATATTATTTCCAGTTGAAAAAGAGAAAAATGAGATCAAGGTACGGCTACTACAAGGTACTGTATTCAAACTGGTACTTTACCTCTTATACACCGATGATGCCAGGAAGAAATTCTAATGAATCTATCGATAATCTACAAACAAATATTTAGACCAGTATGGATACATGGCGCGCATATCTGTAGATGCGCTAACAAGAACAATATTAAGTAATCCAGAGGTTTTAGAACAAAGTGGTGAAGAATAGCTGTGATGTTTCATGGTACGTAAGAAAAGGTTAAAAAAAGGATAATTGGTGAAGTGTAAAAACAGTGAGTATGAAAGTAGAGCATAGTACGCTAAAAATATTAATAATATTACTGTAAATATGATATTGTTCTGAAGCTATTTTCTTGTGGCATTTTTAAGTTTAACATAAACATTTTTACTTCTTCTTCTTAACGTGCCTTATCAAGTCCCCTTGACGTTGGCGATTAACATGGCGAAACTGTCTCTGTCTCGAGCTATTCTAAAGAGTTGCACAGCTTTCTTTATTCCTGTCCACTCTCTGATATTCTTCAATCAAGAGGCCTGCTTTCTACCAATTCCTCTGCGTCCTTCGATGTTACTCATCATAATGAGTTGAAGAATATTATATCGGTCTCTCCTTACTACGTGTCCAAAATTGGCCATCTTTCTATATTTGATGTTATCAAGCAGCTCGCAAGTAGCATTTGCTCTCTCAAGGACTGCCACATTTGTCAGCATAGCCGTCCATGGAATTTTTAGTATACGTCTGTGCAGCCACATTTCAAAGGCCCACAGACGATTAATGGTGGATATTTTTAATGTCCATGCTTCGACACTGTATAAGAGGACTAACCAAATGTAGCATTTAACCATACGCTTTCGAAGTTGAAGTTTCAAGTTATCATTACAGAAGAATGACCTCATTTTTAAAAATGTCGTGCGGCCTATCTCGATTCTACATTTTATCTCTTGATCTGGATCTAGTTGTTCAGTAATATGGCAACCAAGATATTTAAAACTGGACACTCTTTGAATTATATGACCATCAACATATTATAATCGTGCATCTTGATGTGATAAACGGCTAAACACCATGTGTTTTGTTTTTGAACAGTTTATGTTTAGGCCAAACTCTCTTCCCACTGTATCAATGGCATTTAAAAGGCATTGTAATCCATTCATGTCATCACTTAAAATAACTGTATCGTCTGCATATTTGATTGTATTTATCAGAATTCCATTAACTTTCACGCCCCATTCCAAATTATGCAGCGCTTCTTTAAATATTTTATCTGAATATAAATTAAATAAGAGTGGGGATAGTATACAACCCTGTCTGACACCTCTTTGTATTTTACATATTTCTGTTGATTTTCCGTTTATGCAAGCTGTCGCTGTTTGACGCCAGTATAACTTTTCTATGAATCGTATGTCTTGACTATCAACTCCTTTATCTGTTAATATTGTAATTAATTTGTGATGCTGTACTCAATCAAAGGCCTTTTCATAGTCAATAAATACAGCAAAGACGTCTTTTCTTTGATCTCGACATTTCTGCAGTAATACATTTAGTGCAAAGAGGGCGTCCCGAGTTCCCAGTCTATTTCTGAAGCCAAATTGTGTTTCATCCTGATCTTCTTCACATTTATCTCTGATTCTACTGTGGATGATGCGTAGAAATATTTTCCAAAGTGTGGCTCATAAGGCTTATCATTCTATAATCGCTACAGTTTTTCGGACGTTGTTTTTTTGGTAGTGTTATGAATTCGGACTTTAACCAATCTTCAGGGATATCACCAGTCGAATAAACATCATTGAAAAGTTTGACCAGTATTCCAATGTTCTCCTCATTTATAAGCTTTAACAGCTCTGTCGGTATGTTATCAGGGCCAACGGCTTTCTTGTTCTTTGCTAACTTTATAGCATGCAGTATTTCTGATTTTAGTATTTCTGGTCCTTCACCTTCAACTAAAGTCTCCGGTTCTTCGGGTCTATCATCATTATACAGTTCACTTATATAATTACACCAGGTTGTTCGAATTTCATGTTCGTCTATTATCATTTTTCCCGACGAATCGGTTATAGTATGTGGAGTTTTCTTATGATAAAGACCAGCTACTTCTCTAACTTTTTTAAACATATTAAACGTATCATGTTTTTCATTCAACTTTTCTAATTCCTTGCATTTATCCTCCATCCATTTTTCTTTAGCCACCTTTATTTTTTGTTTAATTAGTTTCTGTTTTTCCTTATATTCTGTCTTGTTACCTTTCAGTTTCCTTCTCTGCTCCATTAATTCCAGGATTTCATCAGTCATTCATTGTTGTTTTTTGTGAATGTTTAACGTTGTTGAATATTTTTCTATTACTTTCAAGGTAAGATCTTTAAATGTGTTCCATATTTCTGTGTTGTTTTCATTTATTG